AGAGAGAGAGAGAGAGAGAGAGAGAGAGAGAGAGAGAGAGAGAGAGAGAGAGAGAGAGAGAGAGAGAGAGAGAGAGAGAGAGAGAGAGGTATTGGATGATACAAGATTGGCTGCCGACGATGAAAACGAAGAGAGAAGGAGAAAAGAGAGAGAGAGAGAAAGAGTGAGTGATAGAAGATTGTTGTGCGGCCGACGAGGAAGAAAGGTGGCGGCCATAGCCGCCGAGCTCGGACCCGACGAAGAAGAAGGAGAACGGGAGTGACGAAGACGAAGTTGGAAAGAAGAAAGAAAGTAAAGGAGAGGGGAGAGAAGAAGCAGGAGAGAAAAGCCATAGCTGGGGTGAAGAAGGAGGAGGGTGAAGGTTGGTGAAGGAGGAGTCGGCAGCCATAGCCAAGCTTGAAGAGTTGACCGGAGCGCTGAGCGAGGTGTTGACCCGTGTTGACCAAGCTGTTGACCCACATTGACCAAGGAGTTGACCGAAGAGTTTACCAGCGTTGACCGAGGCGTTGACCAGCATTGGCCGAGGCGTTGCCCGACGTTGACCAAGGCTGTTGACCGAGATCTGACCAAGCTGGAGTTGGTATAACCTCGCCAAGCCTTCCACCTACCCCCTCGCCCTATGGATGTGCACTCACCCCATGGTACTTGCTGAGTCTGTCTGTCTCTTCTTTCTGCATTGAGTCACTTATGTCCAGGTGATAGGAACTCCGTGTATGTGGTCATAGAGGTGCGTTGACCAAACCCCCACGGGCTGAGTAGGGCTGTCGTCTATGTCTGATGACTGACACGTCCCGGAGGACTAACCCTCCCAAGGACCGGTACAGACCGGCGGGCTGCTCAGTGTGGCATGGTTGGCCCAAAATCCGAGCAGTAGGCTACACAACCAGCTGTCTAAGTCTTGGGAGGACTTCGTGATCACATCGTCCTGTTTGCGACGTTAAAGAATTCCTGAGGAGTTACGGGGGATCCCTTAAATGCCTCCTGATCAGCAGTAAAGTCCTGTAGTGATAGCCTGATCCCTTAAATGCCTCCTGATCAGCAGTAAAGTCTTGTAGTGATAGCCTGATCCCTTAAATGCCTCCTGATCAGCAGTAAGTCCTGTAGTGATAGCCCTAGTAGTAGGTCTAGGCTAGAGACCATAGTTGACAGGATCCCAAAAGGATTCTGTAGTCCTTAGAGAGTCAGTCTGTCAGTCAGTGGGTAAGTCTAAATGGTAAGGAGTGGAACAGTCTTTTGTTGTGCACCATACACTACTCGATGTACAGCTTGCTCGTGGGGTTCTCACTCTGGGGGACCCTCTGGCGTTTCCTGTTCCAACTAGGGTTCTGGCACACATTCGCGTGTAGCGTTCAGAAGAGGGGTGGTACAGGGACCACTCCTTATACGAAGGAGCAGGAGCAGGAGGCCGCGAGGATATTGGCCGGGCAAAACGCCAGGAGAGAGAAGGAGCTGCAAAAGAAGGGAAAAAGTTAGCACTCCTGGAAGAAAAAACAAAGAAGGAAAAAAAATCGGAGGAGGAATTGAAGAGGCTGTAGAAGGAGAAAGAGGAAGTTGTGGCCTCAGTGGATTAAGAAGAAGAGAAAGAAGAAGGTACTCCCCTGGAGACGCATAGGAGGAGAGAGGAGAAAGGGGAGCCAACTGGCACGAAGGAAACATATCGGAGGTTGGAGAAGATGGTGACAAAGTGGGTCGCCAACTTGTCGCTGGAGGAAGAAGACGAAGCGAAGTTGTATGTTCCCCAGGAGGAGAGAGAGGCAGCGATAAAGGAGATAGAAGTAATAGGGATCCCCTGCGGGCCAGGCGTTGGACGATGAAAAAAAGATGGAGTGGAAATTACGCCTCACAAGGGAAAGGAGGAGGCGATTGGAGGCGGCGTCTGAGATAGAGAAGGAGTTAGCAACAGCAGGGGAGCAACATGCAAAGCTGGCAGTGCAAATAGATCTCGAAAACAAAGTGAAGATCATAGGCAAGAATGTGGAAGTAATGCTGAGGGCACAGCAAGAGCAGATGCGCTACCTAAGGGGCCATGATATAGCACTACAGCCCATACGCATGGGATTCAGAGATATTGCACATGATATGATGATGCGTGTGGGCACAAAAGTACAAGCACGACTAGATAACACAGAGAAGTTTTGCGTAGGCGCTATAGAAGCTGCGAAGGCAACGCCCCCGAAGGAGGTAGAAGCACGCCCCCGTAGAGAGCACGTAAAGGTGAAGTTCCCTAACCCCTACAGTGGGAAAAAGGGAGAGAACTTCGATAACTGGGAGGCCAATATAAATTCGTATGTGCACCTCCACGATATCATCCCCGAGGAGCAAGTCCTCGTGACCTTCCACGCCCTCAAAGACGAGGCCTTCGGCTTTGCGAGGTCGTTAGCCCGCGCCTCCAGATGTGACAATGACATGGTCGCCTACTCTGCGATCACACCCTTAAGCGCGTTTTTGAAAGCCCTTCGAGATCGGTTTGCAGATGTCACTAGGGGGCTCAAGACCTCTGACAAACTGCAGACTATTCACTCGCGACAGTGGAAGGGTGCTAGGGCACTGAAGGGGGTGATGGATGAGCTAGTTGTCGTCCCTGACCATGGGGTTACTGAGCCCCAATTGGTTCAGCTATTATTTTGTGCCATGCCGGAGAGTTTTCATGGGCACTTTTATGAGACGAGTAGACAGCCCAAAATGACCTACAAAACGTTGAGTAGGGATTTTGTGGCTTTTGAGGCACAATCCATGCCAGTTTCCACTTTTTGGCATAAGGATTTGGATAAAGGTCAAAAGTGGAAAGGATGTACCATCTAAGTCAGGGCCAAGGATCACTTGTATCCTTACATTAGATGAAGGTGGTATGGAAGAGGTCCCATATAGTCAGATTGAGTGGGGCCTCGAAAAGGAGGACAGTCGAGTGAGTCAGGGGAGCACTTATGCTGCTGCCGCGGCCAGAGGGAGGTCGAAAGGGAGAGGAAGAGGCGAAGGCCAAAGGGGTCAGGCCTCTGGTGGTCGAGGACAGAGCGAGCAGGGGGTTGGCGGCAGAGGTAACCGCCAAGAGGGAGGAAGGGGTCAAGGTCCCCCGCAAAACCGTCCGCGTTCTAATCGATCACCTCCCAGGAGGGGTGGACGACACCCTGATCTGCCCCAGGGCAAACCCTGGGATTCGTTGGGCATAGACCAAACCGTTTGGCAGAGGAGAAACGATGATGGTCAGTGCATTTACTGCGGTGACCCGGGGCATATCATCAAGTATTGCCCCAGGTATAGTTGCAGAGCCAGCAAAAGGCAACCACCGGTAGGGGTCGCAACTGCCCTTGCTAATAGGCCATGTGGAGCAGAGTGCACGCACCACAAAGGAACTCCCAAACCACATGTTGCCTATGGCAGAGGTTGCTGGCCAGCGCGTAGTTAGTTGTCCAAAGTCTGCTAGTGTTAGAGTCTCTCTAGGTGCTTCCCTCACAGGACTGGCAAAAGAGTTGAAGGAGAGGATGCCAGCCTGGGCAAAATGAAGAGAGATGGGAAAGGACAACTATTATTGGTAGATATTGAGGTCTTTAGAGGCCGAGTAGGGGCCCTAATAGATAATGGGGCCACACGTGGCTACATCAGTAGGAAAGCGCTGCAGCAGCTGAAGCTGAACCTGGAAGTCCGAAAGCTAGCAGATCCCATAGTCAGTATCCTCGAAGACAATTGCCCTATGCGAATCGAGGATTACGTTGAGGGAGTCCAGGCGTATTTCCGCCTAGAGAAAGATGGGAAGGTAGAGAGGGTTCTCCATTCTCTGACTCTCCTCGTAGAAGACAATCTCCTGTTCGATATGGTACTAGGTATGGATTGGGGAGAGGCAGCAGGAGCCACACTGCATTTGAGACAGCATGA